TTTTAATTGCAACCACTCCGCATGCCGCGTTATTGCCTTAAATTGCCAACAGCTTGATTAAATTCTTTATTGATCGGCGGTTGCTCGTGTTGATGGTGCATGAGCATTGCGGTGATTGCTCTACTAAAGATGCAGCGAACTGTGTTGCCAGTAAACAAATAAATGAATAAACAATGAGTCAACAATAAAAAACAAGAAAAAACTTTAAGCTCGATTGCACTGAAGCTGTAATACCCTTCTCGTATACAAAAGATGACAAATAAGGACTTGATTATGATTGGTCAATTTGTATGATAGCTACTTATGTAACATATTGATTTCCGGTCTTAGGCCAAGTATTCTCTCGGTACCCAAAAAAGTCAATTTGAAGGCGTGCTAAAGTGAGAAAGTAAAATATGCACCCCAGGGTTGTGCGCTAGATTTAGGGCCCGTAAGAAAACACCCCCAATAACAAGAAGAAAACAGCCTCTGTTGTGTCCTTTTCAGGTATAAACGAATAAGACCTGAACAATTTCATCGGAGATTACACCCTACCCTTAGACAATAACCCATGCCAAATTGTTTGAAGATATCTCACCAAATGAAAAAACTTTCCATACAACCACTTGGTACCGATAGTTTTGTTTGTATGGCAATTTGTTCTGTAGGGGTTCGATATCGGCAGTTCCGATGCTTGGAGAAAAAATTAGACTTCTAATGATGATCGACTCAGTTCACCCCTCTGAGAGATTATTTATAACATACGTTTCCTCTCGGGTGTTTCGAACTTCGTGGCATATCTAATATAACCTGTTAAAGGTATAAAAACGAAACAAGTTGATGGGATACTGAAAAACTTCCTCCCTTGAATAAAATTGTGAAACTTATGCCACGAAAGTAGAAAAAAATAATTCTTAAAGAGACATTTTTGCCTACATAACTCTGAACTCAACTGAAGTATTTATTAACTACATTCCCTTCTGAGAACGCCATTCTCGCTATATTTCCGCAATTTTCTCTTGTCACAAAAATTTACATGCAAAGGCAACAAAAAAGATAGCGAGTCCAGTTTATACCAGAGAGTATGTGTATATAGTTATACTTCATTATCCATCTTCGACGCTACCGAGTTTTGTTGAGCATCTTTTAGACTAGTTTAGCTATTGTGAATTGCTCACACAATTAACTACTCTCACCAGGCACCAGGGAAACAATGGATCTTGTGCACTTATCCCGCATTGGATACTCTGGAGGAAGTATCAATCATGAGGCCGCAAAGTCTTTTGAATTCCCGCCAAACGCAGCCATCCTACACGATCACTCCTCTTGGACTTGGCAACTGAACTCCATCGGGTATCGCAAGGGACCAAACCGGTTTATGCGTGGCTTACTGGCCTACCAGATTAACCTAACGTAACCTAAATACCCTCAAAAATTAAAATACAAACCTTTTTTTTAATTTTCAAATATTATAGAAATAAATTATATAATAGTTGTTCCAGAAAAAACATCAGGCTCGAAAGTAAGAGGTTACCAGAAACTAAGAAGAAGAAGAATTTCTCCATCAATGCAGGAATCACAATTGGACAAGCGTCGGCAGACATGTCACCACAAGGTTGCAATGCAGGTATTGTGATTTGCTTGAACAACAGTCATAGTTTGTTCGATTCGCTACTCTCTAATTCTTGGAGAATCGAAGTGTTTTGTTTAGCAATATCTACTTTATTTAATTTCATTTAAAGAACCAACACTGTTGTTATTGTTGTGATAGAAAACATTTCCCAATTTTTTTTGAGAAGTGCTGTCGAGTTAACAACTTTCGCATGGATGTAACGAATACTCACTTCGACTGTGAGGAGTTTGTTTGTGCCATCGAAGTACATGATACTGCTATCACTTGACTATAAAGGCAACAAGAGACCACATCAAAGTAATAGTTAGGGAATTGCCATTAAAATTCGAAAGTTTTAAGCACAGCTTTGTAACAATGAATCCAAGAAGAGTTTTATTTAGGCCACAAAATAAAGGCGGCAGGTTTCTGAGAAGTTATTGTTGTCTATATTATCACTCTCCCTTGTTCTATATATGACTTTCGATAAAAATTATGGGCAAGAATAGTAATAATTAACAGAAACGTGAATGTTGAGTGCTATGAGAAAATCTTTCATATTCAAAGACAAAACACATTTAAATTTAGCACATTATAATCTCAATAATGACTATTTAGGTTCCTATTCAAAAGAAAATCGCTTTTTTGAAACGTTATTCGCTTGTGAAAACTGTCTTAATTTTTATAAGGTAGGATCTAATCGATTAAAATCAGCAATGTTAGACGATTTTGAGATCCAACACCGGTGATATCGCTGAGTACTGAGAATATCCAATGTTAGTAAGAGAAAGTGATTTTGAACAAATAAAACTACTCAGGTTATGTTCGAGAGAACGTACGATAGAAATACATGGAATGAAAAATGCGCTTTTGGCACAGTAAACTAACAGTTCTCTGCAACTGACAATGTGTATATTCCATGTTGCCCATAACACCTTCAAATCCCACGCATTTTGTAACGCTAAATGTCCCAGTTAACCATATTTAACAGTTGACCATTATAAGCAGACTCAGTTATGGCATTACAACAACAGTCAGTCAGTCGTATGAACGAAATTTGTTATGCCTAATTTAGCTCAAATTAAAGCGTGAAAATAGTTTTTTCACAAAATTTTCGCAAAAACAGCTGCATAATGCCATTTCGCCATTAGCAACGCTATTATATATATGTACTTTATATAACTAAATTATATGTATTTAGATGTGTGTGTGTGTGTGTGAGCGTAACGGCGTGTAAGTGTAAGCCCGCAAATAGAATTAATAAACACATTTTATTGTTAATGCGCGTAATTGTCTGTGGATGAAGCGCATAAAACCCATTGGACCGTGGAGAATTAACAGTAAAATAACTGTGTTGCAATTTTATTGTTGCCATTTGTATTCGCAAAACAAAAAAATATGGTAGGTAGTGGCTAACTCCAATTTGGCTAATTGCAGCTTAGGCACGTGCAACAACACACACTGTGCACACGCGCACCGCTTACCGCTCACCGCCCACACACCTTAAAGAGCGTCCAATTCACGGGCGCAAACACGCGCAAACCCATTTGTTTGTGTGTGTGTGTATGTGTCTCACTAGCATAACTACACATTTGCAGCTTTTAAAGTTTGAGTTTTGGAAATTTTTCGGAAATTCAAAATTCCAGGACGCTAATGGCTTTTGCGGTGTAGTTGAGACCGACTGCGCCACGCGCGTTCGTGTGAGAGCCGCACACCGAACTGTAAATGTGCATATCATCATAGACACACACGCATACACACATAAACATGCACAGAAACACGGCGACGACGCACAACTTGATTTACATGCACTTAAGTCGCCAGCCTGAGCGCGGCATGACGAAGGATCGCGCCAGTGCGTTAAGAGACACGGCGCAGCGCAACAAGGCAAATGCCACCAGCAAACAAGTTAAAAAGCGCTTAGTGCCGCTGAATGCCTGGAACGCGTAGCCGTTGGCATTGGTTGGGCCTGGGTGGCTGCGGGTGCCACAATCCAAATGTTTTGCGCCACTTTGTGCTGCATGCGGCGAGTCACCGGCGGTGGCAAATGGCGCGCAAATGCATACCCACAGCACGAACTACAGTTACACAACAACAGCCGCCACAAGAGTGAGTAATATGTTGTAATAACAACTAGTGGTTGCGCCAATGCCAAACGCCAGCAGCCGGGCCATCATTAGCAGTGCTCAGACGCGAAATGGCTCATTAAACAAATTTCGAATGGCAAATTTCGGTGCAAAAAATGCGTAGCATCTGATTTTGAAATTAATTGAAAGAGCCAAAGAGCTCCCAGAACCTATGGCGTTGTTTCAACAAAGTGTGAAAATGAAATTGCTCGCTGGAAAACAAGGCTAATGTGAGCAATATTTCTGTCAGACGAGAATTAGGAATTTGAACGTAGAGATATATAGCAGATATATATACAGCATGCAAAGTTATTAATTCACTAACTTTGAAAGCGATGTTAGTTTAACATGTGGAACCGATTTCATTGCATTTTTGTCAAAAAACTAAGGAAATAGAAAATTTATTGGATATTGAAACCAATATTACGAATGCGGCTAAAATTTGCTAAAATGAAACATTCCGGTAAAAGCTTATGAGTAAAGCTTTACGCTCGTTTTGTCAAAATTGCATATTTTCAGTAGATACCATATTTCGAAAGCGAAAGCAAAAAGTCACTGTGAAAAGTATGTTAAAAAGTATGTTGTCAAAAATATTAAAGCAAATAAGACGCATTTCTATACACAGTAGTTTGAAATGTACGACTCAATCGTTAATAGCGAAAGGAGCTTTTGGGCTTTCGAGGTCTGCTTAAGCTTAAGTCAAAATAGCTCTTATATTAATACCAGAGCAAAAAAAAAAGTGCGATTTAATTTCGTTTTCGAAACGAGCTTTTTGAGCTTTCATTGTCTGCTTAAGCTTAAATCAAAATAGCTTTTACATTAATATTACAGCAAA